TGATATGAGAGTGTTACACACGCTTGTACTGCTGATACTGCTTTACACGGCAAAACTGGTGGGTTGTTGTGTAGTAGATTCTTCAGACGTTCTCCTTTAATGTTCATACGGGTTTGGAACGACATGAGGTTGAGTGAACACTGATGCACATTTTACTAGGGCTGCCCCTTAATAGTCGACTAACTCGATAGTCGATTAGTTGCTTAGTCGAAAAGAAAATAAATAAATAAAAAATTCCACAGGCGAAGTCAAGCACTCCGTGACGGACAGATCTCTTAAAATACTCCCTCATTGTTGCTCATACAGATAAAAGTAATATTTCTTTCAAATCTGTAAAGACTCTACATTTATATGTGTGCACTCACGATAACAACAAAACATTGCGCTTTTGTAAAATAATGAAAGCAAACAGGATGCGCTTTCTGCCGTCTCGGTCTCTGTGAACTTGAGCGCGAAACTCTGTGTAAACTTGCCTTACAGACATTAAAAATATATCTATTAAATGTTTACTTTCGTTTACACTTTATTTTGATAGTCCACTTTAGATATTCTACTAACAATTTTGCAACTACATGTCAACTAATTCTCATTAATTTGCAACTACATGTCTACTAACTCTCAGAGTAGACTGTTAGGTTAGGTTTAGGGTTGGTAGAATAAGTTGACATTTACTTGCAAAGTTTCTCGTAGTCATGTATGTTGTGGACCCATCAAAATAAAGTGTCTACTAATGCTCTAATGACTGCTAGTTGCAAAGTTACTTACTGTTAGTAGAATGTCTAAAGTGGACTATCAAAATAAAGTGTTACCTTACTTTCAAATGAACCAATTCAAATGTAAAACAAATATTCTCAGATTATGTAATCCGTATGAAAGATGCATGCAGGTGCATGCACTACTGCGGAGATGACGAGTCAGTGTCGCCGACTTCATCTCTTAAGATGAAAACAAAAAGCACTAGTTTATCAATGAATTATTAAATTGTTAATGCAGCCTCCTTACTGCTTTTACCTGACACATACATCATCATTACTTCTGCCGGTGTGCTGAGGCAAGCTTTATGTGTGCGCTTGAGCGCTTATTAGGCAATGTAGGCAATTTAAAGGTGCATTATTATGATTTATATAATATCTTCATGGAACATGATCTTTACTTAATATCCTAATGATTTTTGGCATAAAAGAAAAATCAATAATTTTGACCCATACAATGTATTGTTGGCTAGTGCCACAAATATACCCCAGCGACTTAAAGGCACAATATGTAAGATTTTTTTATTAAAATATCCAAAAACCACTAGAGCAGTGTTATATATTTTGCTGACTTGTGTACTTACATTATCCCAAATGTTTCGAAGAATGTTTAAATCCAGAGAAATAAGCAATTTTAACTAGTGACACGCACCGGTGTCCATAGTGTCATTGTGTCGCCTGCCAATGACGTCATAACCCCTCGATTTCCGGTTTTGTTTTGTAGAAAATATGGAAACACCAAAGACGCTTTAATATGTTTTAATAGACCGGTGACGACCGCACAGAGTAGCATTATAACCGCGCTGCTTTACCCCACATATGCACGACCGGAAGCAGCGGAAGCGGTCGACTGTGGCATAATAAAAGCTCCGCTGCTTTACCCCACATACGCACGACCGGAAGCAGCGGAAGCGGTCGACTGTGGCATAATAAAAGCTCCGCTGCTTTACCCCACATACGCACGACCGGAAGCAGCGGAAGCGGTCGACTGTGGCATAATAAAAGCTCCGCTGCTTTACCCCACATACGCACGACCGGAAGCAGCGGGAGCGCTCGACTGTGGCATAATAAAAGCTCCGCTGCTTTCCAGCCGTGTGTCACGCTCGTTCAGCGCCTCGTTTCGCTTCGACGGCTTTCAGCCTCACCCTGCTTCATTCTACTACGTTAATAAATCATTAGCTCATCCATGAACAAGATTTCTGCCCGAGTCCCGTCGGATTGCGTCGGCTGTGGGGATGAAGACCACAACTCCCATGATTCCACACTCAGTCACAGCGTCATCAAACTACGCCTTTGTCTCTTTGTTTTGAATACGCGCCCTCTAGTGGCGAAAATTACATATTGTGCCTTTAAGACTGGTTTTGTGCTCCAGGGTCACATATGGTTTATTAATAAACATGCGATTAGTCGACTAATGCTTCAAATGAACGACTACTTGTCGACCAGAAAAATCTTTAGTCGAGGGCAGCCCTACATTTGAATGAACGAGGCATTTACATTGTACAAGATATTCCGTGTCTGAACTCTTTGACGACTATAGTAAATATAGACGTTTATGAAAGCTGCCCACACTGCTCACCCGGATCTGGCGGCGCAGGAGATCACTCGTGACGTTCCGCAGGGACATGGTCTCACAGCACGTCATCAGGGAGCCCAAGATCTGAGATCATCTGTGCAATGCAAGCCTCTCGGAGAGGCCGAGCTTCTGGAACACTGAACGCAAGCAGAACAACATCTGAACTAGGGTTCCAGTACATTTTGGAAACATTCCAGAAACTTTCCAGGATATTCTGGAATCTTCCAGGGATTTTGGGAAAGTTTCCGGAAATTTTCCACCCATTTGCAACCCTAATCTGAACAGATGACAACAGCAGGTAGAGTTGGTTTGGAGAAAAAGTTGAAGTTAGTTAGCACTTGATTACTTTAAACTGTCTTTCTATTGCTTTTCTTAATTATTGTCAATGCATATGTATTTAAATGTAGTTTTTCCTGGCAGTTGACAGTATATTCTGATTTATAAAGTGATATTTTTTGCTTCTATGCCATCTCTTCTTTCAGACTACTGGAAAAAAAACATGTAAAATACACATTTAAGGGTTTATTTTATTGCACTTTATCTATTTGCGTCTGTAGATTTCAATTCCAATCTGTATCTTTAAAGAGTTTCTCTCTTACAAACAGCAAACTTTACAGATTTATTCCTCTCTATATTCTGAAGGTTTGTTCAGATTTCATTCACACTGATTTATATGACATTTTACTCCTAAAAACATGGTGAAAATGTGTTTGTTTTCTCTCTGTTGACAGTATTTTCTGATTTATGGAGTGATAAAAATTAATTCAGAAAAAAAATGTTTAACCTGATTATATGCATATAGTGATATAGTTACACAGTATGCTCTTTTACTGTGTAGTTCACCTTATATCTTTATAATCGGCCTTATTAAGTGAGTTTACAGTTAAAATGTGATTAATCTGACTGTCAGCTAGTTTGACGCGATCACCAAAACATAAACAATTAGCATTAGCCGACTAGCGACACCTCACAACTCCACATTCACACAAAACCAGACACTTCTGACAGCAGTCAGCAACTTACTGCTTACTGCAGATTGTTTAAAGCAAGATTTGTTTAAAAATAAACACATATCAGCCTCGCATATCAGTGAAGTGTGAGTAATATCGTCTTACCTCAGAGTCTGTCTGGCCTTCTCTCTGCGCAGCTCGATAACGCGATATTTAGGCTGAAAACCCAACTGTGCTTTCAGTAATCGATGTCAATGCTTTAACTATCCGCTGAGCAATGTCTACAGCTAATAAAGGACTAGTTGTGATGAAGCATTGGTGAGGTTTTGAAGCCACATTACTAAGCAGCTTCTCGACTGAGCGCTGACAGCGCGGGTTGCCAGACCCTTCGTCTTTAGCGGAACAACATCCGGACACTTTCGATTTTATGTTTATTATATTTATTCGTTTTATGTACACTACCAGTCAAAAGTTTTTGAACAGTAAGATTTTTTATGATTTTTAAACACTTCTCTTGTGCTCACCAAGCCTGCATTTAGTTGTTCCAAAATACAGCAAAGCGGTAATATTGTGAAATATTTTTACTGTTTAAAATAGCTGCTTTCTATTAATTCGAATATATTTCAAAATGTAATGTATTCCTGTGATCAAGGCTGTATTTTCAGCATCATTACTCCAGTCTTCAGTGTCACGTGATCTTCAGAAATCATTCTAATATGCTGATTTGCTGCTCGAGAAACATTTCTGCTTATGATTATTATTATTATCAATATTTAAAACAGTTGAGTACATTTTTCAGGATTCTTGAATGAATAGAAAGATCTAAAGATCAGCATTTATCTGAGATAAAAAGTTTTATGACATTATACACTATATCATTCAAAAGCTTGGAGTCAGTATAATTTTGTATTTGTATTTTTTTTTTAGGGTATAGAAATTAATACTTTTATTTAGCAAGGATGCTTTAAATTGATCAAAAGTGATGATAAAGACATTTACAATGTTACAAAAGATTTCTATTTCAGATAAATGCTGTTCTTCTGAACTTTCTATTCATCAAAGAAACCTGCAAAAATTCTACTCGGCTGTTTTCAACATAATAATAATAATAATAATAATAAATGTTTATTGAGATTTTAAACATATTTCACAATATTACTGTTTTGCTGTATTTTGGATCAAATAAATGCAGGCTTGGTGAGCGGTGAGCAGTTCTTTATAAAACATAAAAAATCTTACTGTTCAAAAACTGTTGACTGGTAGTTTATATAGATTACAGAAATGTTATATATATATAACATTTCTGTCCCCCTCACTTCTGAAATGATGGCCATGCCCCTGCCTCCCATCCAATATATCGCAATAAGCATTGTGCTTTGGTACTTTTAATATGAAACGAAGTCTCAGATTTTAAATTCTGTCCATTGTTGTTATATTCCGCAGCATAAATAATAAAAAAATGTTGAATTGCATTATTTTAAAAACGTGTCAAACCGTGCAAACCGTGCGATTTAATTCACACCGATTACAATAAAGATAATGTTTTTATGAGAATATGATTTGAACCTTTATGACTATGATGGAATATCTGGCAACCTTAAAACGTTCTCAAGGCATTTCCTGTTTTAGCAGAACGCACAATTACATAATACAAGTCACTAGACATAACCAAGTGAATAAATGCAGCCTCATAAGTTAATGCAAATAAAACCACTGCGCATGCATTGCAAAACACTTGTTTAATTTGTTCCAGCATCATTAATCTGTCAAAATATGCATCAGCACAGAGAAATATATTTGTTAGTAGTAATGGAGAGATGTGTTTGTTCCGGAGAACAGCAGAAGATCTTCACATCAGTACTTCTTGATCTGAGACACTTCATGTAGGTAGGCGATGAACAGCTTGGTTCCCTCCATGTAGTTGTATCTGAAAAATAAGACATGAAGCAGTGAATGAATGTGCATGAAGAGAAGCTCTCCAACAGACTCAGAAGCTCCAGGGACCTGCTGATCTTCTCGTTCTGTGAATGCAGGCCGTCGTCGAAGCCTCCGATGGGCAGCATGATGATGCTCTTGCCTGTGACGTCCTGGAAGGTTCTGGCGATGGGAATCGTGCCTCCCTCACGGATCAGGTCCGGCTCCACAGCAAACACTACGAGACACAGGTGATGCTCTACGTCTTATTCAGATGCACTACTGCTCTTATGAATCCTGCTTACAGAAGTATTTTTCAAAGCAGAAAACAAAAAGCTAGAATCCACACAAGCTCAAAGCATAAGATCCATTGAGAAACAACATTTTTTACTTTAGAATTTCATGGCCTTGCCATTGAGGAACAACATTTTGGCAACTAGCTGAAATAAGTAATTTCAAAATAAAACTTATAATTTATTTTATTTTAGTTAATGTTTATTTCAAGTAACCTTTCTTTTACTTGTATTTTTTGTGCACTTTTGTACTTTTTTTACTTGAAATTTCACTTTTTTGTTTGTGCACTTTTGTACTTTTTTACTTGAAATGTCACTTTTTTGTTTGTGCGCTTTTGTACTTTTTTACTTGAAATGTCACTTTTTTGTTTGTGCGCTTTTGTACTTTTTTACTTGAAATGTCACTTTTTTGTTTGTGCGCTTTTGTACTTTTTTACTTGAAATGTCACTTTTTTGTTTGTGCGCTTTTGTACTTTTTTACTTGAAATGTCACTTTTTTCATACTTTTTTTTTTTACTTGAAATGTCACTTTTTTAATACTTTTTTTTTACTTGAAATGTCACTTTTTTGTTTGTGCACTTTTGTACTTTTTTACTTGAAATGTCACTTTTTTCATACTTTTTTTTTTTACTTGAAATGTCACTTTTTTAATACTTTTTTTTTACTTGAAATGTCACTTTTTTGTTTGTGCACTTTTGTACTTTTTTACTTGAAATGTCACTTTTTTCATACTTTTTTTTTTTACTTGAAATGTCACTTTTTTAATACTTTTTTTTTACTTGAAATGTCACTTTTTTGTTTGTGCACTTTTGTACTTTTTTACTTGAAATGTCACTTTTTAGTTTGTGCACTTTTGTACTTTTTTACTTGAAATGTCACTTTTTTCATACTTTTTTTTTTTACTTGAAATGTCACTTTTTTAATACTTTTTTTTTACTTGAAATGTCACTTTTTTGTTTGTGCACTTTTGTACTTTTTTACTTGAAATGTCACTTTTTTCATACTTTTTTTTTTTACTTGAAATGTCACTTTTTTAATACTTTTTTTTTACTTGAAATGTCACTTTTTTGTTTGTGCACTTTTGTACTTTTTTACTTGAAATGTCACTTTTTAGTTTGTGCACTTTTGTACTTTTTTACTTGAAATGTCACTTTTTAGTTTGTGCACTTTTGTACTTTTTTACTTGAAATGTCACTTTTTAGTTTGTGCACTTTTGTACTTTTTTACTTGAAATGTCACTTTTTAGTTTGTGCACTTTTGTACTTTTTTACTTGAAATGTCACTTTTTTGTTTGTGCACTTTTGTACTTTTTTACTTGAAATGTCACTTTTTTCATACTTTTTTTTTTTACTTGAAATGTCACTTTTTTAATACTTTTTTTTTACTTGAAATGTCACTTTTTTGTTTGTGCACTTTTGTACTTTTTTACTTGAAATGTCACTTTTTTGTTTGTGCACTTTTGTACTTTTTTACTTGAAATGTCACTTTTTTGTTTGTGCACTTTTGTACTTTTTTACTTGAAATGTCACTTTTTTGTTTGTGCACTTTTGTACTTTTTTACTTGAAATGTCACTTTTTTGTTTGTGCACTTTTGTACTTTTTTACTTGAAATGTCACTTTTTTGTTTGTGCACTTTTGTACTTTTTTACTTGAAATGTCACTTTTTTGTTTGTGCACTTTTGTACTTTTTTACTTGAAATGTCACTTTTTTGTTTGTGCACTTTTGTACTTTTTTACTTGAAATGTCACTTTTTTCATACTTTTTTTTTTTACTTGAAATGTCACTTTTTTCATACTTTTTTTTTTTACTTGAAATGTCACTTTTTTCATACTTTTTTTTTTTACTTGAAATGTCACTTTTTTCATACTTTTTTTTTTTACTTGAAATGTCACTTTTTTCATACTTTTTTTTTTTACTTGAAATGTCACTTTTTTCATACTTTTTTTTTTTACTTGAAATGTCACTTTTTTCATACTTTTTTTTTTTACTTGAAATGTCACTTTTTTCATACTTTTTTTTTTTACTTGAAATGTCACTTTTTTCATACTTTTTTTTTTTACTTGAAATGTCACTTTTTTCATACTTTTTTTTTTTACTTAATAATAATAATAAATGTTTATTGAGCAGCAAATCAGCATATTAGAGTGATTTCTAAAGGACCATGTGACTGGAGTAATGATGCAGCTTTGAAATCACAGGAATAAATGACATTTTAAAATATATTAAAATAGAATAGTTATTTTAAACAGTAAAAATATTTCACAATATTACTGTTTTGCTGTATTTTGGATCAAATAAATGCAGGCTTGGTGAGCAGAAGAGACTTCTTTAATAAACATTACTGTTACTTTTGAACTGGTAGTGTATATTATTATACTTATTAATTTTATATACATTATTTAATTACATGTATGTAATCATGCTGTGTTATATTCACCTTGCAACGCAGCATAAATAATAAAAAAATGTTGAATTGCATTATTTTAAAAACGTGTCAAACCGTGCACTTCAAATGATTTAATTCACACCGATTACAATAAAGATAATGTTTTTATGAGAATATGATTTGAACCTTTATGACTATGATGGAATATCTGGCAACCTTAAAACGTTCTCAAGGCATTTCCTGTTTTAGCAGAACGCACAATTACATAATACAAGTCACTAGACATAACCAAGTGAATAAATGCAGCCTCATAAGTTAATGCAAATAAAACCACTGCGCATGCATTGCAAAACACTTGTTTAATTTGTTCCAGCATCATTAATCTGTCAAAATATGCATCAGCACAGAGAAATATATTTGTTAGTAGTAATGGAGAGATGTGTTTGTTCCGGAGAACAGCAGAAGATCTTCACATCAGTACTTCTTGATCTGAGACACTTCATGTAGGTAGGCGATGAACAGCTTGGTTCCCTCCATGTAGTTGTATCTGAAAAATAAGACATGAAGCAGTGAATGAATGTGCATGAAGAGAAGCTCTCCAACAGACTCAGAAGCTCCAGGGACCTGCTGATCTTCTCGTTCTGTGAATGCAGGCCGTCGTCGAAGCCTCCGATGGGCAGCATGATGATGCTCTTGCCTGTGACGTCCTGGAAGGTTCTGGCGATGGGAATCGTGCCTCCCTCACGGATCAGGTCCGGCTCCACAGCAAACACTACGAGACACAGGTGATGCTCTACGTCTTATTCAGATGCACTACTGCTCTTATGAATCCTGCTTACAGAAGTATTTTTCAAAGCAGAAAACAAAAAGCTAGAATCCACACAAGCTCAAAGCATAAGATCCATTGAGAAACAACATTTTTTACTTTAGAATTTCATGGCCTTGCCATTGAGGAACAACATTTTGGCAACTAGCTGAAATAAGTAATTTCAAAATAAAACTTATAATTTATTTTATTTTAGTTAATGTTTATTTCAAGTAACCTTTCTTTTACTTGTATTTTTTGTGCACTTTTGTACTTTTTTTACTTGAAATTTCACTTTTTTGTTTGTGCACTTTTGTACTTTTTTACTTGAAATGTCACTTTTGTAATATTTTTTTTTACTTGAAATGTCACTTTTTTGTTTGTGCACTTTTTTACTTTTTTACTTGAAATGTCACTTTTTTGTTTGTGCGCTTTTGTACTTTTTTACTTGAAATGTCACTTTTGTAATATTTTTTTTTACTTGAAATGTCACTTTTTTGTTTGTGCACTTTTGTACTTTTTTACTTGAAATGTCACTTTTTTATTTGTGCACTTTTGTACTTTTTTATTTGAAATGCCACTTTTTTGTTTGTGCACTTTTGTACTTTTTTACTTGAAATGTCACTTTTTAGTTTGTGCACTTTTGTACTTTTTTACTTGAAATGTCACTTTTTTCATACTTTTTTTTTTTACTTGAAATGTCACTTTTTTAATACTTTTTTTTTACTTGAAATGTCACTTTTTTGTTTGTGCACTTTTGTACTTTGTCACTTTATATGAAAATCTTAAGTGAAAAAGTTTATTATTAATATTTTTAAGATTATTATAGTTAACTAAAACTTTAAACCATTAAAAGCATTTTTATTACTTGAAATAAAATAAACATTAACTGAAATAATTGTATTAATATTATTTACTATTTATTGTTGCAGCTAGTTGCCAATTTCTCATTTTAATTTATTTTATTTTCCCAATTAACTTGATGTACTAAAACAACTGAAACTACAATACAAATTTATAAAATTAATGTAGACGTACATAAAAATATAGTTTATTCCAGAAACATTGTTCTAGAAAACATTTCTCATTTTTGTTTAGTTTAACATCTAGTGCTAAAATAACTAAACTAAATAAACTATAACTAATAAATAAACATTAATGAAAAAAACTAAATGGAATAAAAAAACTAATAAAAATGACAAAAAAATGCAATAAAATGACAAAAAACTCATTCAAAATATTAATAAAAATGGTATTTTTGCCGGTCCAGAAGGGGGTTTTCCCATGCATTTTTTCTCGATATGGAACTTGGTTTGTTTAAAAGAAAAAAGATTATTAAACAAGTTCTAAATTGCTTAAAAAATCAGAACAAAAGACAAGAATTAAAGAACTTAAAGGGGCCATATGATGCTTTTTTAAAGATCATTATTTTGTGTATTTGGTGTAACAGAATATGTTGACATGCTTTAATGTTCAAAAAACACATTATTTTTCAAATACTGTACATTATTGTAGGTCCTCTATGCCCCGCCTCTCTCAAACGCTTCGTTTTCTACAAAGTCCCTCCTTTCGACAAGCGCAGTCTGCTCTGATTGGCCAGCTGACCCAGTGCATTGTGATTGGCCGAACACCGCAAGCACTCGTCGGAAATGTAACGCCCCTTACCATAATCGCGAGCTTCATCTTTCAAAATAAATGTAAAGACAGAGCCCGAAAGAGGAACAGAGTGGCGTGACAGACACAGTGATAAAGCTGGTATGTGTTTGCAGTGCACAAGCCGCGGTTAAGACAGCTGACTCTACTGTGATGTGACCCTGTCT